GCAAATAGTAAAAAATATATTCGCGACTTTTTTCTATAATAAACATAAAGGAAATATAATTTTTTTAGCAACAAAAATGGCAAAGTTTGACAGTATTATTTATAATTAGCTATCAATATTTATATTGAAAATTCATGATATATTATTTATGCATGTATACAAATAAAATTCACAAAATTTTTTTTAAAAATCGAATAATATTAAATAAAATTACAACGAAAATGTGAAACAGTTTATGATAATCTAAATAATCCAGGAATATTTGTTGAAAATTTTTTGAAACTTTCTTTACTCTTAAATATCAATTTAAAATTCAAAGAATTTAAAATATTCAATTTTGTTTAAACATCTAAACCTTTTCCTCGCCACTATCACTGTACATACACATGCATATGCTATATGTTATGTTTTCTTCCTTCATGAATAAATGCACTGTGCTACTCGTATTCAGATTAGGTAAACGTAGGCGGAGGTTCTAATCTGAAAACACGAGGGTCCTTTTAGTACAACTTCTTGGTACGTCGCCACGTGCCTTCGTGTCGCTTTTGTGCGATTCCAGTTGAAAATTAATTTTATTCACACCGTGACGCAAAGTACAAACCCGTGTTTTTCCTCCTGTAAATAGAAGTACATTCCTCTTCTTCTCTCTTTGTGCAGCGACGCTAAAAGAAATTCCTCGATAACCGATGGACGGAGGCATTCGTATGAATTCATATTTCTCGGTTGATCTCAAGAGCTCGTTTGTAAGAAGATAAATATGCCGCGAAGAGAAACATGTACTTATTCGTTTAAAAAGGTCTAATCAGTCTCTTCATAGGTATTTCATTCATTAATCAGGATTAAAGATTGTCATGTCAAACGATCAATTTTAATTGCGATGTTGAAACGTATCTTGTAATGCTATGCAATTCAGTATTAATTGCTATACCATAAATCGTGCGCGCATGTAAATTACAATGCATCGTTAAGCTGAACAATTCACACAACATCACGAATATCACGCACAATATTGAAACGTATAAGAGATATTTAAAGGATGATTACGTAGAATGCATGGACAATTATTTTTTAATATAAACGAGTTATTTCTGAAGTTCTTTTTAGGCCGTGTATTTATAATGAATCCTATTTCTGTTTAAAAATGTCAAAATTATATCAAATATAGCGCACATGTAATAATATGTTATCAAAAGTTTGCATTTTTAAGCAGGCTTTTTATTAGCGTTTCGTGCGTTTGCTGCAAATTTATTTAATCAGAGATTTATACATTTTTTTTACGTGATTTATCATTGTATAAACATATTACACGTGCAACACCTGCTTTTCGTGATATGTTTCGATTAACTTGCTTCGTCAAGAGTGAATGGACGGGAATAAGGGAGAAATTTGTATCCTCGATGGTTTGCCGCTTTACTCGTATTATCGAGGGCGACGTGTGCACGCTAGTTTATGGTAGTTTCGATCCTGAAGGGGTAGCCCGCGTCGAACTTTGGTCAAGCACAGGCGAGGCCAAGTTAATTACTGGAATTAATGTGGTCCGACGGCGTTAATCCGCGCGCGGCACGCGAGCCAATCAAGAGGTCAGATAAGAATTAAACGGCATCGAGCCGACGCCTCGTTAGCCGTCCCGTGTCGGACATAAATTTCGCACTAAGCCCAGTTTCACATTCGATCGAGTTCACGCCGATAGATGAGAATCTCGCGTTCGCGATTGCTTTTCCGTTACACGAGCTAGCTAGCCTTGCGTTTCTACGCACGTGCTATTTTACGCTGATAACGTCGACAATGTATATATTGCATACTACAAGATTCAGATTATCCACCTCTTTCATTTCTGATGATTCCAGAGAAATAACTGAATTAATATAATACATTAATGCTGGTTATTTTCATTTTTTTAATATGACAGGTTTCTTATTAATCTTTAAGATATTGATTAGTATTTAATTTTCAACGAAAAACTTTCATCTATATTTCTTTTAATTAATTTTGTAAAAATACGTGCTTCAATAAATATTGATTTTATTATAGTTTTGATTATGTTTATTACATGTATAAAGCATCGAACTAATATTTAGAAGTTTCTGCATTCCGTGCGAGCTTATATGTCGAATAGATATATGGGCCGTTAAATTTGAATCGTATCAGTGCCCAAGTATATATCAATTACCGTAACTTCGATCGTTGTGATTAATCCGTTCGACCGCCTTACGCCTGATCACTATAATTTTCTCGCTGTCGGGGCTACAAGAGAGCCGTTGATTGCAGAGGAGCGATACAGGTGATCGGCTGAATCGATAATTATGATTTTCCTAAGTGATAGTTAATGATGTCTTAGTATTAAAATATAGTTCTTGATGATATACCAATTGCGCATTGGGAAAACTAATAATTACTGATGATAAACATTTTATCCGCAATAATCTTTAATAATATCCCCGTGTTCGTACCCTATCATACAAATTTAGTTATTAATTAGAATTGGATGCTAAATAATTTTATTATTTTTGTATAGTCATCGTTTCAGATTATTATTGATAATAATCTTCTTTTACTGTTCTCTATAGCATTTTTGTACCTGAAATAAATCCACGTGGACAATTTCAGAAACCAGTAAATAATATATAAGTTTTATATCAACCGTGATGCTTTGTATTTTAAATCTTTAATATTTAAATTTCTTATATGAAGCACGTTTAAAAGAGCGTTTAAAAGATAAAATTACGCATACTCTTTTTACACGTACCAAAATAATAAATATAACTGCGTCGAGAATGATAAAAAAGATAGAATTTCTCTAAAAGTGCAAACAACTTTGAACCTGATTCGATATTAATACCATGATATTACGGTAACTTATAATCACCAATATCACGACTTCTTCACCATTTAATCAAATCCGTCTAATAACAACCTAAAAAGCGTTTGTTACGGGGCCCATAACGGAATATTCTTTGGTACTCTTCCTCGTACCAATCTTACTTAATCTGTACGAGTTGATTTTCTAAGGGCCCGCGAGAGAAACGCCGACCGTTTACCTTTAATTATAGGGCGGCTCGAGCCTCCTAAATTTATCGCTAATAACGTTGCAGCGCAGACTTAAACTCTGTTCGTCGACGGATCTTTACGGGTATACGTCGTGCATATGTCACGTGCCGACGTTAAACGAATGCGCGGCGGTGCGAGTATATACTCTCACGGGACGTGCGCGAACGACCAAATATACACATCGGCTGATTACTCTGGCGTATATTCCTTTCCTGCGTTAGGCTTTAATGAAGCGGAGAAAGAGAAAGAGAGAGAGAGAGAGAGTGAGTGAGTGAATGAGCCGAGTACCATAAAATATACGAACGCGCGCGCTCTCTCAAGAGTCGCGCAGGAATCCCTTTGTGTGAGTCACGACGAAAGGAGTCCAATATTTCAAAGACGAACAACGCTATTTTTTTTTTTTTTGAACATTCAGCAACGACGTCTTTCAAACGAGAAAATCTAATCGGGGAAAATATTTGTGGCAATTAAGAAAATTAATTTTTACAGATTCTCGGTGGAAATTTTGAAAAGAAAAAGAAATTTAATCTCGCAAATCAAAAAAGCTACATTGACAGTTCTTAAGAAGGATAATACTATGCTTTAACATATAACAAGTTTATTATAGAAAAAAGAAACTGTAATACTTTGCGATGGTCGTGATATTCACGATTTCCAATCATCGCTATATTTATTCGATTTACACGTTTTATTTCTTTTCAAACTATTGCTGATAAAATGTCCCCGTTATCGCCGTAATCCAACGAGATTGAACCGTTGTGTTCGTGACTAATGCTTCCACGGCGGACAGCCGATTGTTTCGACAAAAATGTATTATGCACCGGCGAACGACGGCGGAGACCATCGTAAAATATGAATCTCCCCAGTCACGGGGGTTGGGAAATTTGGTTTCCGGGGAAACGAGCGCTACGTGAGCGGTTGGAAAAGGGCGACGGTGGCTTGTTATAAAAGTTTCTCTCCTTGTAGCGTAATACCAGAAAGTGGATATCCGTTTTCGGACGGTGCTCCGGCCACAATTAAATTGCTCCTTCTTGCGCACTCTTTTATCCCGGCGACGGCCGACCGGATTTACTTTGTTGTGCTCGCCGTGGCTCGCGGAAACGAATTGCGTCTTCCAACGGGAAGGTTGCGGAGACTGCAACTGCTGCAGCTTCCGCACGGATACATGCGGCCAATCCGAACGACGTTCGGACTCGGAGACTAATGTCCGCTTGATATCATCCCCCGTTATGTACACTACGTATTATACTATATGTACATATATATATATATATATATATGTTGTATGTATATATCTTGATTGTGGAAAATGGATATTCTTTATTCGAATTACGATCAATACTAGCGATTTTTAGGGATTCACTTTATAGTCTCTCTTGAAGGCTGATTGCGTGACGTAATATCCAATAAAATGACATGCGTGATTGTTTGCAATAACATTTGTCGGTCACACGCAAATTTCATCTTCTCGACTCTCTTTAGCATGTATTATTTAACCCGATTTCCTGACCTCGTGCACTATTTTAGACCGTGAAATTTTTTATTCCTTCGGCAATCCTTGGCATAAATTTTCTATAGACACAGGACTCATTGCTATCTATTGTAAAGATTAAAATATTTAACGAGAGTAGGACAAATTGCCGCGCCACTATTATTGATTACAAATATGAATAATATAATTAAGAGGCATATCTCACAATAAAATATACAGCTATTTCCGGTAATTAATTCCGCATTTTTGCATTAAACATTACTACTTTTAAGTTCTGTCTTATACCGTATATTGCCTATTATTGCTTTTTTTGCTACTTATTTTATAATATTGTTTAATCATTCCCTTGTTATTACCATTTATTGCTTAAAATTTGTACACATATTGCTGAATGTAATAATCGCTCATTTTTAATCTTCAATAACTTTGATTAACACAAGCTCTTACGATTTTCTTACAGATATGCCTGCTGGGCCTCGTCGTGAGCGACAACAGTACGATCGGCGATCATTCGATCACCTCAGAGGACTCCTCGGAGATCAGCAACATCAGCAACAATCCCGCGACCGACGCCGTAGATCAGGTAAAACGATATCTTCTTACCCTCGCTTTCTTTGCCGATCGCGATCGCTTTACTCCGCGTGACATATGCGTTCAGGTTTTCGTAACCAGTTCGGAGGGTAATCCCTCGTTTTCCATCGGATCGAAGGCTTGAAGAATTGGCGGCTATGGTTCACAGAAGAGGCGATGAAAAAGGCAAAACGACTCATTCCTCGTGCTCGATCTCGCGATTCGAATGACGTGTCTATATACAAGTGCCAAGCGCACGTAGAAGACAGGCAACGAAAAGGCGGAAAATTCGTAGAAATGCAAAATAAAAAAAAGATAAAAGGAGAGAGAGAAAGAGCGCGCGGGAAGGAAAGCTGAGAGGGAAATGTTACTGGAAAAGCACCGGGAAAAATAAACATCTTTATTCACGTCGACCGCCGACGGAAATGGGTCGCAGAAATCGGACAACTGTGTTGTCGCGCGTCCGCAAAGCCGTGCTTTTACCTTACCACCTGGATAACTTTGCCGGAATTTTATGCGGTGCTTTCCAGTTTGCGAGGAATGTTTTAAGTTACCATTCTTTTGACGTCATCGGATTTTTCTGGCGTCCTTGTGTTATTCTCGAGCCGTGCTTAAATAGATATCAATGGAAATGTGAACATACATATACAAGAAAGGATGTGCGTCTTGTTGTTTCCGCGATGAGCTGCTTATTACGCATGACGTGATATCCGGGTCGTACGTGAACACTATATGACGTGATATATGCGAAAAACTTTTTAGAAAATTTATTATTTTGAGACGAAAAGTCTCGCTCTTTAAAAATTTATGCTTTTTATCAATTTTCTTTAACCTCAAAAATTCTTTTCACCGGTTAACATTTTTTTAAAGAATGAAATTTTTAAAGCCAATTTATTATCTCTAAAAGGGAAGTGAAGATTAATATTTAAAATTATTAGAGATATAAAAATGATTTTTTATTTAATTACGAAGATGTTTACGAAAATATATATATTACAATAGTTCTTTGAATAGATTTTTAACTCTGCTTTTAAGAATTTCTAAATTTGCAGATAATTTTCTATATTATATGAAATTTTGCATAGAGATAATATAAAACTCTTTTCTTTTGCAATTTTTCATATCTCTAAATATACGAGAATGGACAAATTTTATTTCTCTAAAATTACGAATAGATTTATGCAGTCTAGAATTAACAAGTTAAAATATTACTTTGACGGAGGAATCATAAAATTTTTGTAGCGTTTCTCATTTAGTAAACTTCGTGTGCATCGGGGAATTTTACTATATTTTACCATTAAGAGAGTAATGCAATTATAGAACACCAGATTTCCTACACCGTGTTTTAATCCATATTTTTTAGCGTCGTTTCATATACGTCACAAGACAGTTATGGTATGAGAGATACTAATGAAAGCTACTTAATATTAAAGTTGAATTGCCCTGGTCCGATCTCATTACATCCCTTGATAGTGGAATGATTAACGTGGGACACGCTTTTCCGGTGCTGGACTCTTCAATTAGCTCCGACCGCATGTGACTTGCTATGATGGGACGTTCGCTGTATAGGTTCCGGGGACTGCGTAATAGTTAAACAGGGTTTCGCCTGATGTACATCCAGTTGGACGCTACTTTTCCAACGTACTCGCGCGCAGATTAACTTGAAAAGTACATTGCAGTCGTTCAATTTCCGCACGGAAAATCGTTCTCGTGCTATTACGTATGCGCTTTTACAAGTGCTTTTACCGCGACAGTGATACCATCAATCGACTGATGAAATATACATATTATTGGGTCAAGAGAATAAATTTCGGAGAGAAAAATATTTAAAAAATCGATTTCTTGTGAATATATGTTTCTTCATATTTTTTATTTAATAAAATTGTTTTCCCTCTTTCTCATGCACATATCATTTAATTTAATTTTAACAAATAATTACTTTATACAAATTTATTTATTATAACGATTAAGGTAAAACGATTTTATGTCTGTATGCTACTTAATTTTAATTATGAAGACATTCAACGGGCTAACTTGATTAAGATTTTAAGATGCTACGCATCATCGTGTCGCGGTTTTGTTTTTCACGACGAGATAAGGAGGTCTACATTTCTCGAAGTGAGGCCCAGGAGGAATAGAGAAAAAGCGCGGAAAGCGGAGCATTACTGGCGCATTTCTCGGCAGTAACGCACAGTAAGAATAGCCCGGCGCGTAGGAGATCGAGTCGTACGTAACGCTCCTTTGCTGTTAGTATCTCACTAGGCGGATACGGTTAGGCGACGTTAAAGCCATACCTGCGGATGCACTCTCGCGCTGTTTCCCGATATTCTAAATCATTTCTACACACGATTACACGCAGGCGAGCACGAGTTGGCGCGTTATAGTTTGGCTGTATACGAGCGTAACCGGCGCAAGAGAGAGTGTCTGGCCGGAAACTGCAAAGTACATGTAAATTGCCTGGCGTACTTCGTAAATTCCGCTGTCTCGCGGAGTAATCGCAATCTCTCGGAGAGCCGAAGGATAACGCGAAACAAGAAAGTATCTCGCTGAATCTCGTCATGGGCCTTGTTTTGCAGCGAAGGAGAAGAGAATAAAAGAGAATCTTTCGCGCATCGTGCAGTTACACGTCACCGTTTACAAAAATGTATGTACAAACTTTTATCTTACAAAGCTGGAGAAGCGATTTCCAAGCGAGTCGTTACGTTTCTGCTACATTTCGCTACGATTCTTTAACATTTGAAATTTTTTTTTCTTCTTTTTTAAATATTCGAACGATACACGTCGCGCTCGAATCTTTATATTTTATCATCGATATTGTTACGGGGAGAAAAATTGCCTTTTACATGTATGATCATCGACGGTATATTGCAATATCTTCGTCGCGATATCAGAATTTTTTAGGAGGGATTTTTGATACAGAATCGCGTGCGGAATGTAAATACTCGGAGCTCTTTCCAATGATGAGATCCGACAATCTTAGAAAATCCATCATACACGTATTACGTTCTAAAGTCCATAGTATAAAGAGAATATAAATAAATATTGAATTTTTACCAGGTTATACATAAACGATTAATAATGAAGAATGAAAAGAGACTTTTGTAAAAAATCATTACAACCGTTAGATGCTTACAACACGTACCAAATTTTCGGCATAAAATCGATTGACTGCAATTTCGACTTCGGTTTATTTCACAATGTTTTTCCTTATTACAGCGAAAAGATACAAGTTCAACGAGAAAACGTTAATACGCTTTAATTCAATTTTTGATTCCGATGGTGTTTCGCGTAACGCGACTGTTCGAAACGATTAAACCGACGAATTTCGCGTAGCGAATAATTCAGATCGAAAGAGCGGCAGTCGCAGTCGTTGTTCGCCGAGTTCGTAAAACACAGTCGCGCGCTCGAGACGTTCGAAAAATATGTGGCCAGTTTTACGGCACCATGCGATGCCGTTGATACGTGCCCTGGCTTGGTGGTCCCGGCTGAAACCGACACTTTTATTCCGCCTGTCATTTCGCTCTCGACAATCGGATACGCGCGACGAGCGTATCCGTAAAACTTGCAAAACTGTCAGGTACCTTTTTGCCGCTAGCTGCGACTTCCCGAATCGTTTTCGTGTGATCGTCGAAGGACAAATTCGAGGGAAGACTGATTGTGAACGTAATACGTGTCACTGACCGCGCGCGTATCGTGCAACATTTTCTATTTTCTTTTTTCTATCTTGTTTTTTTTTTTTTTTTTTTTTTGCAATGCATCTCGCAAATCTGCATTTTTTCGAGAAATGCTTGTATAAACTAATGGCTCGCGTTTGAATGAAAGCTGTGGAAGAATCGTTTTTTTCCATCAAAGTACGTTTAATTGAGCAGACTATTTTTAAAGATGAATGATTAACTACTCGTCGGCTGTGCTCTTATAAAAATAGCTGATAGATGAAAGACTACGGTGTACACAATGGACAGTTTAGTTATATAACTGCTTCGAACACAAATTACATTTGTGCTCGCGTTCATTTTATCAAGGATTTTTGTATTTTCTAAATGAGGAAAAACACGAGTGAATCATCAAAATATGCTACAATAAATATGCATGTGTACAATCGAATACTGTTTGCAAGTCAAGTTCGATTAATCTCGAATATTTTGTGACTGAAAATATTTTCGATATCCGCGTATATAAGCGTAACTATCCGGATAAGAAAAATAAGATCATATTCCGCATAGGAAATTGTGTACGTGTGCACGTGCGTATATATACATATATATATAATACATCGCGTATATTTTCTCAGGATATTTCACTGTTTCTCGGTGATTGCATTGCGACAGCGAATATAAAACTAACTTTGCGAGTGGTTTCGGCGTAGATTCCCGCATATAAGGCGGATTTGAAAAGCGAATTAGGATGTCGCGGTAGTATCGAAATATCGTTTGTCTTCGGCGTACATGTTTTCAGGAGTTCCGCTCCGCTACCACCGCGAATACCCGATGAGATGTGTATCTCGCGAAGTTTCGCCGAGCGAGCGCGGAAAATTCGGCCGAGGACCGAAAAACTAGCCAAGCCCCGAGATTGCGAGCGTCGATATAAACCGAATTACTTTGCCAGAATGGTAATAGTATTGATTAGAGATACATTTGCGCGACTGATTGGTACGGTTGGATTGGTCAATCGATTTGGCTACCGTTATTTAAATTGTGTATTTGCTCACGATTCCGATGTTGAAATTGGTTCCGCGTGTTAATTAAAAAAAATATATATATATATGTATATGCATATGTATATATACAATTTTTTTTAAGTTTAATTACACGTTTTTGTCGATTAATTTACGCAAATGTAAAAGACTGACTCACTCCCGTTTCTCGGAGTCTGCGTGCCGTATTGCGGCTTTCTTAAGAGGTATTTCTTTTCGTTTTCTAAAGTATATACGAAGTTCATTGTGCGCTCGGTAGACAACGTTGTGCAGTCCGTACCCGAAACCCGTGCCAACCCTTTATCTTCTAAGGAATATAG